CACAGACTCAGACGAAGTTTGATGCAGTTTGGGTGATTGTGGATAGGTTGACCAAGTCAGCTCATTTCATTCCTGTGGTTACTACTTACTCTTTGGAGCAGATGGCTCAGGTTTACATTCGTGAGATTGTCAGGCTTCATGACATACCGGTATCTATCATCTCTGACTGGGGTACGCAGTTTACATCACGATTCTGGAGAGCCGTACAGCGTGAGTTGGGTACTCGTGTGGAGTTGAGTACAGCATTTCACCCTCAGACGGACGGACAGTCCGAGTGCACTATTCAGATATTAGAGGATATGCTTCGTGCGTGTATGGTCGATTTTGGGGGTGCTTGGGATCAGTTCTTTCCACTTACGGAGTTCGCCTACAACAACAGTTATCAGTCGATCATTCAGATGGCACCGTATGAGGCTTTATATTGTAGACGGTGCTGGTCTCCTGTGGGTTGGTTCGAGCCGGGCGAGGCTAGGCTATTGGGTACAGACTTGGTTCAGGATGCCTTGGAGAAAGTTAAATTAATTCAGGATCGATTTCATACAGCCCAGTCCAGGCAGAAGAGTAATGTGGATCGGAAGGTATTCATGGTTAGGGAGCGGCTCTTGCTCTGGGTTTCGCCCATGAAGGGTGTTATGAGGTTCGAAAAGAAGGGCAAGTTGATCCCTAGGTATATCGGGCCTTTTGAGATTCTTGAAAGGGTTAGAGAGGTGGCTTAAGACTTGCACTACCACCTAGTCTCTCTACAGTTAATCCATTATTCCATGTTTCCATGCTCCGGAAGTATCACAAGATCCGTCTCATGTGTTAGACTTCAGCTCAGTCTAGTTGGACAAGGATCTATCTTATGTTGAGGAGCCAGTGGCCATTTTGGGCAGGCAGGTCCGAAAGTTGAGTTCAAAGAACATCACATCAGTGAAGGTGCAGTGGAGGGGTCATCCGGTCGAGGAGGTGACTTGGGAGACCGAGCATGATATGCGCAGCCGTTATCCTCATCTTTTCACCACTTCAGGCATGTCTCTATAATCGTTCGAGGATGAACGTTTGTTTTAAGAGGGGGAGGATGTAACGACCCGGCTGGTCGTTTTGAGAGAATTAGTCCCGAACCCCTATTTATTGCTCCATCTACTTCATTTTGTGGTTATGTAACTTGCCAGCAGGATTTGTTTTTGGTTTCGGAGTGAAATGGGACACATAGTCCCTAAAATGGAAGTTTAAGTCGTAGGAATCGACCGTAGTTCGAACTATGTGAAGACGACTCCGGAATGGATTTTCGATGGTTTCAATAGCTCTGTAGGATGATTTTGGTCTTAGGATCATGTTCGGATGTTGAATTGGAGGTCTGTAGGTCATTTTAACGTTAATTGGCGAAAGTTGGAAAATTGGATGGTCTTTGGGAAGTTTGACTGGGAGTGAACTTTTTGATATCATGGTTGGATTTCAATTCCGGAAGTTGAAGTAGGCCCGTAATGTCAATTATGAACTGTGTGCAAAATTTGAGGTCAAACGGACTTGATTTGATAGGATTCGGCGCCGAATGTAGAAGTTTGAAGTTTTAAAGTTCATTATGCTTGAATCGATGTGCAATTCATATTTTTAGTATTGTTTGATGTGATCTAAAGGTTCAACTAAGTCAGTATAATGATTTAGGACCTATTGGTAAGTTTGGTTGAGGTCCCGGGGGCCTCGGGTGGATTCCGGATGGTTAACGGATCAAATTTAGATTTGGGAGAATAGCTGAAGGCACTAGTTCTGGTGTAATCGCACATGCGCAAGATTGACCGCATGTGCGAGCCCGCAGAAGCGAGCAATTGGACGCAGATGCGGGGCTGGGGGAATTGATCAGTGGTCGCAGATGCGACGTGAAGGCCGTAGAAGCGGAGTCGCTTCTGCGGAAGAGTGATCGTAGAAGCGGACGAGTGCTTGGGAGGCATGTCCGTAGAAGCGGATGAGTATGCACAGATGCGCACCCGCAAAAGCGGCTGTGAGCCGTAGAAGCGGGAATGGGCGAGGAAGCTGGGACCGCAGAAGCGGTTGGGAGCCCGTAGGAACGGATGAGGAGACCGTAGGTGCGAGGGTAGCCGCAGAAGTGGATAAGTTGTCGCTTCTGCGATGCCGTAGATACGGCTAAGTTTTTGCAGAAGCGAAAGTGCTCGGCAAAACACTTAAATACAAGGGTTCGGAATTTTTATCATTATTGGACATTTTAAGCTCGAGTTTCGCGATTTTTGAGAGCATTTTCGAGGGATTTCTTGAGGTAAGTCTCTTGTTCTTATTTTTGATCAATAATCTTGTTTCGCCATTGATTTTCTCACCTAGATTGTGTATGTTTAAGGTGGAATTTAGGAGTTTGAGACTAGGGATTCGGAGAGTTTAATTTGGAGATTTGAGTGGTGACTTGGTGTCGGATTTTGGTAATTTTGGTATGGGTGTTCGTATTTTGTGACTTTTACCCAATTCCGAGACGTGGGTCCGGGTCGACCTTTTGGGGCGATTTTTTGATTCTTTGCTAAAGTCGTAGATCTATAATTTAAATTAGTTTCTTGTAGTTGTATTCATATTATGTAATTGCTTTTGGCTAGATTTGGGCCATTCGGAGTGGGAGAATCGAGGGAAAAGTATCATTATCGATTGATTGAGCGAGATTTGAGGTAAGTGACTTGTCTAACCTTGTTTTGGGGAACCTCCCCTTAGGGGTTGGTAATGTTATAACAATTTGTGATATATGAGCTCCGTGTATGCGAGGTGACGAGTGCATACACGGGCTATTTGTAAAATTTTCGATTTTTGATGAGTAGATTCCTTTTAAATTCCTTAACTAAGTTGTCTTAGCACATGTAGTGATCATGTTAAGCCTAGTATCGCATGTCTACGTGCCTTAACTATTTTTTTCAATTTGTGCAACATGCTTAGTTGAATTACTTGCTTCCCTTGATTTGAATTAAAGCTTTAACTGTAAGATTTCTTGCTGTAAATTCGTTATTCCTTCGGTTATCTGTTGCATATTTACTGTGGGACTACGAGGCGGTTCCTCAGGAGATCCCCTTGTCTTGCGTATTTACTTTGGGACTACGAGGCAGTTGCTCGGGAGATCCACCATGTCTTGCATATTTACTTTGGGACTACGAGGCAGTTCCTCGGGAGATCCCCTTGTACTATTTACTTTGAGACTACGAGGCGTTTATTCGGGAGATCCCCCATGTCTTGCATATTTACTTTGGGGCTACGAGGCGGTACCTCGGGAGATCCCCCCCTCCCCCCTCCCCCCTTCATGCATGCTTACATTTGGGACTACGAGGCAGTACCTCAGGAGCGCCCCTATTATTTTCCCCTATTGGCTGAGCTGTTATTTTCTGAAGTTTTTCGTTGTTTAAATTTTCAGTCATTTCAAATATTATTATATCTTCTTCCTTACTTTTCTTTCAAACCAACAGGGCCCTGACTTGAACTCGTCACTACTCTACCGAGGTTAGGCTTGGCACTTACTGGGTACCGTTGTGGTGTACTCATACTACACTTTTATACATTCTTTTGTGCAGATCCAGATTTTTCCTACTAGGCCAGATACTAGTGAGTTGGACTGTATGTGAAGACTTCAAGGTATATCTGTCAGCGTCCGCGGACCTCGGAGTCCCCCTCTATCCTTCTTATATCGTTTTCCTTATTCTCTTTATACTTGATGTATAAAGACACTTAGTATTTTCTCTTAGAAGCTTGTGACTTATTTCCATCGGGTTTTGGGAGTTGTCATTATTAAATCGTAGCTTTTATTTATATATTATGTGTTGAGATTGGAGTTCAATTTATTATTCAGTTATTCCGCAAATTGTTAGGCTTACCTAGTCTTAGAGACTATGTGCCATAACGACATCTTACGGAGGGAAATTGGGGTCGTGAAAAAGTGTGACCAATTTTAAGTTGTCATATCGTTCCTTTAAGCCATTCCACAAAACAAGTGGATGTTTGACTGTGAGATATTCTATTTTCAACCCTTCATCAAGGTGATGACGCAAGAAAATCAAGGTCTTAGCACAGTCTTGGGTAGATACTTTATTTTTATCTTTAATGGCGTCTCCAAGACCCATTACATCTAAATGGATTTCAGCATCCAACACCCATGACATATAGTTCCTGCCCGAAATTTCAAGGGCAACGAACTTTTTTTTCATAATATCAGTCATAATTAAAAGATAAGAAAAATTATACCTTAGTCTTCTCAAAAAGCTTCTTGAGATGGTAGAGTCTCGTACTAATAACGTATTATGGAATAATAGAAAATAAAGTAAAACAAGAGGAATTTTGAGGGAGATAATTAATAAACTTTTCTTCATATTATTCTTCAAGTGTTTGGGCTTATTTATAGGCATTTTTGCATGAAAGGATTTGGCAACTTATCCAAAGTCTTGACACTTGTTGAAAAGTTTGTCACTTGTTGAAAGTCTTGACACTTGTTGAAAGTCATGCCACTTGGTAATTTCATAATACATGGACATTCACTCTTAATATTATTTATAACAAAATGAAAAAAATACCTAATTTAATTTATTTAAGATTTATGACATGTTTCTTCATGTATAGCCTCCGTTATTTTCTATTAACTAAGGAAGTATTTGGATCAGAAATGAGTTATGCAGGGATGCGAATTATAATAGAGCCTAAAATTATATGAATTATATTTTCTAAATAAATTAAACTATTTTAAGGAAATACTTTATTGCTAGATGTCAATTATCCGATAAAATCATTGTGTTTCTTACTACCATATGAAATTATATGAATGATTTCGTCTAATAAATTAAACTATTTTCGGGAAACACTTATATCAGTTCAACATAATCCTTTATCAGCATGAGCTATATTAGGTGTAAATTAATTTCCTTATAATTAATATATTTCCTTGTTATGTAGAATCTTATAGGAGTAGTATTTATTTTCTTTCTTATCTAGAATATTTAGAGTATCTACTAAGTTAATTCTCTTTTATATTTTTTCTTCTTAGTTCTATTTTTCCAGTTTAGACTAAAATCAGTATCTATATATTGACTTCAAATTGGAGCGGAAATATAGAAACTAAATTACTCTTTAAATACCATTGTCTGACATCTTCCAAACCAAGATTTTATGTGTTTAGCTTTTGGGCTGAAGACAAAAGGCTTTTCAAATGAGCTGAATTAAGTGTTTCAACCAACTTAACAAACAATTGAATATTATATTTCATGTTAAACATTTCAAGAAAATCCAGTTGGTTTCAGAGCTAAAGATGATGATTAAGGAAGTTGGTAAAATTTGTATAACACTTTACTGCTTTCAGTTTCTTGTAATAGTTGCAACTAAAGACAGCATACCCACAACATTGGATGGGCCGTTTAAGCCAGTAACTACCAGATTTGATCCTTCATTGCGTAAAGGAAGTGATGATTTGGCAATGGAACATCCAAGGCTTAAGAGAAATGTGACTTCATTTTTTCCAGAACAGATTGCTCTTGCCTTGTCATCATCTCCTACTTCTATGTGGGTTTCTTGGGTTTCTGGTTTGTGATTCCACTCTTCTCTGCTTCATTTGGTTTCCTAACTTTTAAATCTTGTTCAAGTTACTTAATTACTGGTTAATTACTGAGATTGCACATAGGATTTACGTTATATATACTGATAGTGTAATGAAGTTTTTACACCACTTCGCTGCTATTAAATAGAGTTATCTGCCATTATCTTTCTATACCGTCAGTCCATAGAACTTAGACTCTTGCACGGAATGATTAATTGGTTTTTCTACCATTTTTACCTGGGTGGCTTTTCATTGGTTTTTAGGGGATTCCCAGATCAAGGAATTATGTATACCAATTGAAATAACATATTTTAAGTTAGATGAATATAATTGGTCAAGCTAGTTTAATGAGTTGATTTTTATGAATATAAAGAGTATTTACACAATCTGGTCACTTAAAGTCAACTTAAAGTAAATGTTATGCACTAAATATGTAGAGGTTGGATAAACTGTTTGCGCTTGTCAAATCTCGCTGAAGGTGTATACGTTTTACACTCTCAGTGCTTAAAACTTTAATTCATTAAAGTTTGTTGTATGGTTGCGTTTGGCTTTTCGTTTTTGGAAATTGTGTATGCTATATTCAGTTAGGTTGGTTTACTTTGCTCAAGTTATAAAAAAGTTTCCATGGTGATTTATATTATATGTTTCGGCTTTGTTGGCTTTCCAATTGGTTTTGAGGGGATGCTCAGACCATGAAGTGTAGCAGTCGCAATATCGCTAGTAATTTAGATGGATTTGATTGTTCAAGTTGTTTTAAAGTAGTTTTGTGGTTTCTTGTGATTGGTTTTAGGAGAAGCTCAGATTGGTCTAAATGTGACTCCACATGATCCAACAACAGTAGCAAGTGAGGTGTGGTATGGTAGGGAAAGTGGGAAGTACACAATGAAAAAAACTGGGGTTTCAGTAGTTTACAGTCAGTTGTATCCATTTGAAGGGCTATGGAACTACACCTCTGGCATCATTCATCATGTGAAGATTGATGGTAAGGTTTTCTGTATGTTCCCTTTGCTAACAATATCTTGCCTTTTCCAGCTTGAAAATGAGATCCGTGTTGATAAAAGAATGTGTTCTTGCGAAAATTCACTATTTTTAATGTTGTAACTTAATTTGGACGATAAATTAGACCAGGTTTTGATACTTTTGTTTATGCTGCAATTGGAAGAATTATCTTTTAGCTGACGAGTGGGCACGGTTTTGCCTTAAAAAGTCAAGTAGATATAGGGAACAATTTAAATTACCTTTGGTTATTAGAAAATTCAATCACCAAAACTTCCTTCTCTGAAAATGTAGATTAAATCCTGAATTGTTTGGCAGTTTATATAAGTAACAGGGGCTACAATTGTTACCATTTCTTGTTTGTTAGATGGTATTTTACTCTAATAAGACAATCAATTCATCTTAACTGTGGTAAGCTAATCAAAGGGAAAAAGAAGTCCAAAAGGAAGAGTGAGTAGAATGGTACATATTAAACAAGTGAGCTTCACAAAGAACTCCTTCTGGTTTCAAGTTTCTATATGCAAATTTAAGTGGCAGGGTCCTACAGTCGTAATCCCCTGAATTTGAGTGGTATATTATATAGATATATGGTAAACCAGTTCGCTATATATCTATATATGGTGCTGAATATTGCCTCGGAATTATGAGCCGTTACAGTGAATGATAACTTAAATGTGCGTATATTGCATTAGTTAAAGCGATCCATGATTGCTAGTTCTCCTCTCCGTCCACATATCTTTGCTTTGCTCCGTGCCACTAGTTATCTCTAATTAATCAATAGGAGAACCAAAAGCTAATCTGTGTGTTTTGGTGCATCCAGCATACTTGTCTTATTGGGTAAATTACTAAACTGGATGTGGAAGAATCATATAGATCACAAGGAGAAAAATGCAATATGTAATTATTTTTTTTCTGATCGGAAAATGAGTGTTTTCTTTCCTTCCCTAGGTCTTGAACCTGAGACAAAGTATTATTACAAGTGTGGGGATAGTTCTTTAGCAGCAATGAGTAAGGAGCTTGAATTTGAGACCTTCCCATTGCCTGCACCTTACAAGTATCCACGGCGAATAGCAGTTGTTGGCGACTTGGGTCTTACAAGCAATACAACCACAACCATTGATCATCTCATAACGAATGATCCTTCCATGATTCTGATGGTCGGAGATTTAACTTATGCGAATCAATACCTTACAACGGGTGGTAAAGGAGCTTCATGTTTTTCTTGTCAGTTTCCAGATGCACCCATCAGAGAGACATATCAACCTCGATGGGATGGATGGGGAAGGTCGTCTATTCTTTTTCTCACTTAACTAATCTCCTTTTGTCTTTTAAAACTTTTCTGCCCTTTCTCTATATCTTTCTTGATGAGAAGCCTCCTGTCTTGCACTATCGCTATTAATGCTATATAGAATTGTCTTTTGCTATGGCAAATTGATACAAATAGTCAGCTTCTGCTGATATGTCTTGCAACTGAATGTTGTTCTCTCTTTAGTTTCTAATCTTACATGGAGAATTTAGTTGAAGAAAGTAGAATTTTTTCTCATCTTTATAGATATTTGAACTCAAGATAATAACTGAATTTGTTGTTCTACATTGCACAAAATATTCTGTGTTCCGCTGTAACAATGCCGTTTTGTTAAAGCTAGATGTGTTGTGAGCAGAATCATCTAAATGGCCAACTTAGGTGCCTATTTTGATGGCCAAATCATAAGTTGTAGCCATGATTAGGGCAGACAATATACATATAAATGTAATTGTTGAGCATGAGGGATGCAATAGTCTGTTTCGGGTGTGAAGTTTGAGTTGATGCCAGTTACACTATTTATTGAGTGCTCATCAAAGTGATACCATTGTGGAACGACAAACTGCTGCAGAGCCTATTATATACACCTATGAGATAAGAAAATGGAAAATAAAGTGAAAAATTGGAAGTGGTTGGATTTGAAACAAGCTAATCTGAATATGATTCTTTGTGGTGCATTACTAATTGAAGCAAAGAGAGAAATTTGAACTGAATAAACTGGAGTTGCAGGTTTATGGAACCGCTGATCTCAAGAGTTCCAATGATGGTTATTGAAGGAAACCATGAGATTGAGCCTCAAGTAGCAGGCCTCACATTCCAGTCGTACTTGACAAGATTTGCTGTTCCTTCAAAGGAATCTGGCTCTAACAGTAACTTTTACTACTCTTTTAATGCTGGAGGAGTCCATTTCATCATGCTAGGAGCCTATGTTGACTATAATCAGACCAGTAAGCAATTATATTGCTTGAGTTAATAAATCATTTTTCATTTTTCACTTCAGTATCTTCAGTCACTGCCTCTTCACTTCTGATATACTTCCATAAAGAAAGATCATGCTACAAATATGATGTGGTTTTTAGTTTAACTTGTATCAGGTGCTCAGTATGCTTGGCTTCAGGATGATCTGGAGAAAGTAGACCGTGGCATGACTCCTTGGTTAGTGGCTGCATGGCATTCTCCTTGGTACAATAGCTATTCGTCACACTACCAAGAATTTGAGTGCATGAGGCAGGAAATGGAAGAAATCCTCTATACGTATCGTGTTGATATTGTTTTCTCTGGTCATGTAAGATGAATTACACTCCTAATGGTTGACTATAAATAAACAAATTAATGATCTCAGTTCTTAGTGAGGTTTTCTAACACTCCACCTATCACAATACAATGAACTAAATCACTTAAAATAAGAAGCTATATTGACTTATTTTCTGTCTTTTTATCGGATCATATTATAGCTCATAGGACAATCATGATTGATTGCAGAAAGTAGTGATATAAGAAAGATCTTTTGTTAAATTTAAAAAAAAAACATGTTCCTGTAACAATTGACAACCTAGCTATAAGGATTTAAGATTTCATGAAAACATTTGAGTAGAATTTCTTCACGAAAAGATAGGTTTCTCATTTTAACTTAAGTTGTGTATTTCATGTCAGGTACATGCATATGAGCGAATGAATCGAGTCTATAACTATACATTAGATCCATGCGGCCCTGTTTATATAACAGTAGGAGATGGTGGCAATATAGAGAAAGTTGATGTTGATTATGCAGATGATCCCGGGAAATGTCCTTCACCAAGTGACAACATTCCAGAATTTGGTGGTGTATGTCACATGAACTTTTCCAGTGGACCTGCTAAAGGTAAATTTTGCTGGGACAGACAACCGGAATGGAGTGCATATAGAGAGAGCAGCTTCGGCCACGGGATATTGGAGGTAAAGCCAGAGCTTTAGCTTTACTACTTTTCTTTTGACTGCCACATGTTTAATTCTCTCCTCTTCAAGTTTCATCTCTGTGTATAATTTATTCACCTTGATGTCAAACAAGCCTCTTTCATCAAGTTAAAGAAAGCTATTAGTCTATACCAAGATACTGTTAAATAGTAAATAACCTGCCATTGCTGCTGTGCCACTTTGTATTTCAAAGCTACAGAACTTATTCTGTTTCTGATAACAAATACTTATGTTTCATATTTACCATTGTCATTTTTGTTAAGCATATTTCTCTTCTCCATTCATATGTGCAGATGGTAAATTCAACCCATGCATTATGGACTTGGCACCGTAATCAGGACATTTACCATGAAAACAGTTATGGTGATCAAATATACATTGTGCGACAACCTCAATCTTGCTCTGTACGACAACCTCAAAGGTGATCGCAGACAAATAAATCTTTCATAAAATTATTCAACAAAGTGAAACAGTTATGGAGTTTATAGAACAGTAACTCTGGTTATGATATAGCTGCTGTAGGATCTCCAATGAGGTTATGTGGTTTTAGGGGCTATACTCCAAGGAGAGGATATCCGTTGGCAGCCTACCTACATATCAATTTTATCAGTAAAAAGAAGTAATAACAAATTGTTGCTGTCATAGTAATTACTAGTAGTACTATTCACCAAAAGTATTTCTATTCCCTATTATTGAAGCATTTTTATTTTTCTCCGGAAAATGGCTCTAAGTGAGAGGCCATGCTACATTGAACTCGGCACTCTTCTTTCTATCAACGGAAAGGGGCCAACAATACCCCTAACGTATTGAAAATGGCTCAAAAATACCCTACGTTAACCTTTTGGTCCGCAAATGCACCTAACGTTTGGTTTTGGGCTCAAACTTACCCCTATATATAACCGAAATAACCTGGTCAATTTTTTTACTTTAACTTCGCCATGTGGCATTTTCTTAACCCGCCACGTGTATTATTTGTATTAAATAAAACCCACATGTATCTTTTAAAATACCCAACGACTCTGACCCGCTCCTATATAAGACGGTCGGCTAAAAATAATTATATTCGCTAGTTAAATATATATATATAAAAAATATACATTGATTATATATAAAAAATATGCATATTATACATTAATATTTTAATATATATTTTACATGACATTATTTTTAGGAGAAATTATACGGTGTAGTTTTCCCTATTAATTATGATCTATAACTCGAATTTATTAAGTAAATCTGACAATGAAACGACAGTTTTTGCTAATATTTTAGCTCTATCGTTATATATTAAAACACTATTAGTTCTCATTGAAAAGATCAAGTGAAGTCCATTAATGGGCTAAGCAGTTGGATGTGTATATAATTAATGGTTTTAAAGAATTTCCTTTCCATCTGTTTCTTTGCTTCTCCTTTAGAAGGTCATACAAATAGAACATTATCATTTTTATGTTTGCAAATTAAAATTTATATTTGTTAAACTTATTAAGATCTATAAAATTTGAAGGGAAAACTACACCGTATAATTTCTCCTAAAAATAATATCATGTAAAATATATATTAAAATATTAATGTATAATATACATATTTTTATATATAATCAATGTATATTTTTTATATATTTAACTAGCAAATATAATTATTTTTAGCCGACCGTTCAAATATATAGGAGCGGGTCATGGTCGTTGGATATTTTAAAAGATACATGTGGATTTTATTTAATACAAATAATACACGTGACTGGTTAAGGAAATATCACATGGTGAAGTTAAAGTTAAAAAACTGACCAGGCTAGTTCTGTTAGATAGAGGGGTAAGTTTGAGCCCAAAAATAAACGTTACGGACATTTGCGAACCAAAAGGTTAACAAAGAATATTTTTGAATCATTTTCAATACGTTAGGGGTATTGTTGGCCCTTTTCCATTCTATCAATGAAACATTGGCTCTTTATCAAATGGTTATATGGGGAACTACTTTTTCATTCTAAGAATAACTTCACAAAGATGAAAATTTTCTGCAAGTCCTCTTTATGGCCTATAAAAGAAACTGCTGAACCTTTCATTCTCCATAGCATGCCAAGACCTGTAAACATTTTTAGTTAGCTCTATCTCTCGCGTTATCATCTCTTTATACGTGAGTCTCTGAGACTTACAATTCGAACACCAAGTCAAGGATTACCAGACATCTCGCAGAGCGACTGTCAAAATCTTGATAGGTAAAAGTTTTTCCTGGAAAGTTGACAACTATATTGTTTGTTTAATCCAAAAATAGATTTTTCGGTCAAAGTCAATATCTAGAAGAAATCGGGTTACTCATAACCAAGATTTACTTAACTTTCCCAATAATTTGAAAAAATAGATCAAGGAATGAAAATAATTGACAAAGAAAATATGAAATGAAATGATAATCACTCCCAAAATTACGACTTAGAACTTTGAGAATAAAGCAAAGAATAACCGGATAAATTTCAGTAATAATCGTTTCTTTCCATGACAAATGAGATTTCAGTCCTTATATATGAGCATACAATTATAATGGTTCTCTTACTTAATTTGGGCTCACTAATGGTATTAATTGCCTTGATTGCCTGTTACCATGTACAACTATAACGGAAATATTTATGATTAAAGATTCCTTGTAACTGCACTAATTTTCATTCCTTCTTTATGACAGGTTCGTGTATCTTCCCTTCGTCACAGTCTTTATTCATTTCGTTCTTGTTTCTCCTTTTACAGCTGCCAGGTCAGGGTTTGTTCCTCAGTGTAACCTCGTGGGTGTTCCTCACGTGCCTTTTCCACATTATTTAACTCATCTAATTAAGAACGCCACTTGTCCTTACATCTATGTTCCACATACCATGCCTCATCATCTTGTTGATAGTCCATGTGTTATGTCTTTTTCCATCAATGCAGATAGTCCCCCCACTGAATATTCGGGAAGTGGTAAGTTTTTATGGCGGAAATTCTTTTCCGTCGTTTCTCGAGTATCATTATGCCTCCTTCATAATCGATGTGACGTATGTCACGTTCATTTAATGCCCATGCCACGTGGCTTCTTATGATTGGTTCTGCAGTTTCTAAGCGTTTTTAGGATTTTTTCTACGGCTGCGTCAGTCATGAAGTGACGGTTCCATTATGACACTTCATAATGACCAATTTTAACGAAAATTGTATCTCCTTATAAATACTTCATACCTTTTGATTTCTTGAAACCTTCTTCCTTCTTCTCTGTATCCATCATCTTAACCCTTCTTCGTATTTTTGTACCTTTCCTTCGTATTTTCTTTGTTAAATATGTCTTCTTCAACACCAGACCCTCGCAAAGTTGTGATCGTTGACGAGCTTGCTCCTTCTACTGCCCTTACTAGGGATAGGAGAGGTGGTAGACTCTGCAGCCTTGGTTCGTTATCTACTCGAGGTTCTACTTCTCAAAGTAGTTCCGCCATGCCATCTTCTTCTAGACCTAGGGCTCCTTTGACCCCTAGATCTTCTTCTAGAAATAGGGACCTGATGAACCTATGTGTGAGCCTACGGTTTCTGAGATTGTTCCTCAAGAGATTTCTTTTGTGTTAGATCGTGAGACTATGAAGAATCGAGTTTCTTCTATAGCTTCCCTTAACCCTGCTGAACTTTGCCCAAGTTTAATCACTCCTGGTCTTCTTTCTTTAGTTCAATGAGGATGTCATTGGATACTAGATTTCCCAGTTTTAATCTCTGGTGCCAATCAAAGAATCACCTCTTACTATGCTGGCTTTTTTTGGTTTATACCTACCCTTTCACTTTAGGGTTTAAGCCTCCCATTGATCTAGTGATCATCGAGTTTTGTCGTTATTTTAATATTTGCCTTGGCCAAATTGGTCCTATCATGTGGAGGGCTGTGGCATGTCTTCGCTATTTGTCGGATTTGGTTTTCATTCCTTTTACCTTCCGTCACTTACTTCATCTTCTCTCCCAAGTTGTTTCGTAAAGGGGTCTTTTCCCTCGTGGCTAGAAGTAAAAGGGTTTTAGTTATCCATGAGGATGACCATGACCGTGGCTGGTACACCTGCTTTGTTGTTCCCCCCACTAGTGGGTTAGTGGGTGAAGAAAGCATGTCTTTTCCAAAAACATAAAACTTTGCACGTAAGTTTTTTTTTTCCTTTGATGCCTTGAATTCCTTCATGTAACCACATATTCATTTTTTCAGCAACCATGGAAGTCTTTGAAAAAATTCCGTGCTTGGGTAGAAAAACTATTGACTGCTGCTCCTATGGACAAAAGATCTTGGAAATTTCTTTCATAGAAATTCGGTTGGAAAGTGAAGACTCGCTGTACTCTTTATCTTTGCAGTTCCTCTCCTCCTTTACTTGTTTATACATAAATTTTTCATCATCCCCCCCCCATCCCCCATTTTTATTAGGTTTTGCTATTCGTGGCATTAGCCCCGCATCTGTTCTATCAACCAGGCTTTTTGTAAGTCTTGCTCAAGAACGGATTTTGAATGTTTCTTCCTCCAAGAGGAAAACTGTCGAAGCTCGTGGGTCTGATGATGAAGAGGATATAGAAGAAGGTTCTTTGGTGAGAAAACCGCATGTCAGGAGACGCGTGGTTTCTGATGATGAAACCCTTGTCTCTCATGATCCCCCATCAAGTTCAATTCCCTTCAGACTCCTTGATGAGCCGGAGAATACCCCTTTAGAAATTTCTGATGAAGACACTGGTAACATAGCTAATCCCCCATCAAATCTTTTTGAAAGGTTATTTGCATATGTCTTTGAGGGTGAAGAAGGCCCCGGGCCTGTTTCTGAAGAATTGCCACTTGCTTCCCTTCCAGTTTTATCTACTATCAACCTCCTTGTGTCTTTTCCTGGTGTTACTCCAATGGTTGCTCCCGATGTTGCTTCTCATGTAGAAGCTAAGCCTTCTAATAGCGGGCAGGAAATGAAAAAGGTTATGATTGAAGTCCCCGAGGGTGGAAATTTATTGAGGAAGTCGGTACAAACTGATGTGTGGTTGAAGCCATTGTTACCCGTGGAGAAGAAGAAGTTAGAGGGTCACAGTTCCTTGACCTTAATGAATGAAATTATTCATTATTCTCTTAAGGTATAAATTTACTTACATTGTCTTCCTTCCTTTTCTTCATCCGTAACTCTCCTTCTTTTTTGTAGATTAATTTGATAGGCACAGAGCTTATGAAAAGGGTCTCTTGGACTGATAAGCAACTAATTGAATTGCGTACTGTAGTTGATAACTGGAGAGAACAATTTGAAGGTCTTCAGTTGGAAAAGGACGTTCTTGCAGAAGAGAAATAAGCTTTGGAACAGCAAATGAGAATGGTATCTACTGAGTTAGCGGTTCTAAAAGCTTCTTCTAGTCAAGTTGAGAAGGATAAGGACAGACTGGAATCCTCTTTTGTTGAACAACTTTCCAAAGCTACTAAAGAGATAAAGAGTTTGAAAGAAATCCTTAATCAAAAAGAGGTTTACGCGGGTGAATTGGTTCAAACACTTACCCAAGCTCAAGAAGATCTCCATACCTCTACAGATAAAATTCAAATCTTGGAAAGTTCTCTTGCTCCTTTGAAGACAGCTTACGAAGCCTCAGAAGCAGAAATAGAAGAGCTGAGAGCTGAAATTGATCAGTGGGAGAAGGACTATGAAGCCCTCGAGGATA